AGGCAACAATAGATAGTATATGAAGATACTAAATATTGCATTTAGTTTATTAACTATTGAAATGTATGAAGACACTTCCTATTGAAGTTTTAGTTTTTTAAATTTAGTGGTTAGCAAATCTCCCGGTTGCTTGCATAACTAAAAGTTTTTTTTTTATTACTAGCTCATTTTTTGTGCTCAAAGTACTTTAATTCGAGATAGATCAACTAATTCAGTTATATGTTAAGATTCGAATGTGATTATACTGTATTAAAAAGCGATTGCATCTTAAATTTGATAGTTTATTAAGGTAAGAAAACTAGAAATTATGTTTATATTACATTTTTAATTAATTACCATCTATCTACATTATTTAACGCACTTTGTAAATCTATTACTATTTTATTTTCTTGCACATCTTCATGTTCTTCCGTATCTTCTTCCGAATCTTGAAACTCTTTTTCAAGTCCGTCATTATCAGTAAAAGTGTCAGCTCCTTTTTCAAGAGTTTCTAGAAATGAATTAACGTTCTTGTATATTCTCTTTTTGTAGTACTCTTTACAGTATCGACAACCATATTCTATTTTATTATAACAATGCCAATGAAAGCTATATCCACAGATTAAAACAGTTCCACCTCTATTTTTGCTCAGTGTTTCGTAACAATCATCACAAAGTTCTGGTAAAGGGGTGCACCAGTACTGTAGCCTGTCAGTAGACATATAATATCAACATCTTTACCTAAAATAGCAAGTTTATATTTTAAAAGTCTTTGTTTTTTTCTTTTTTGCTTTTTATTTTCATCATTTGTTATACTAAAGATCGCGCTAATATGTTGGAAGGTTTGACGAAAATAATTTAACAAGAATACTGATGTTTTGTTTACTAGGTATTCTAAAGTAGAAGGTGTATATAGATATCTTTTTTTTGTATTAAACATTTCTTTAACTGGCGAGTATTGATTTGTATCTATTTTTTTTTTTAAAAAAAATAGTTAGTTATATTATTATTATAGTTACTGTATTATTTTAAAATAAAGTAATTTATTTTTTTTTAACTTACCTAGAACACACGCCTGTTGAATAATATTTTCAAGACTATCATAAGCCAATGTATTTGCTCGTATTTAGCTATAGAAGTTTTTAACATGATAATTGTTGAAGTTTACAAGAAACATTTTAAAAATATCCGACATTGGATGTTTTTGGTTTTCCCAATAAAAAATATCCGACAAGAATGCCAAAGGGGCCTTGTTGTAATTTTTATGATTCTAATATAGTGTAAAAGTCCAGATTCGAAAAATAGTTTTGATATATTCATCAAAAGAATCTGAGTGAAAAAGAACAGCATATATGTCCAAAGTTGCTAGAATAACATTGTCAAGAAGATCAACTAGCATTCTATACTCGATGTCTTTACATATAGGTCCAAATTTTTCTGATATCTTTACTTTTATTTTTAACCATCCTTGATAGGTGAGTTCAAGAAGAAGGTTTATCCGCCACGGTTTTGGTTTCTTTGCAAGATTATTTTGTTCCTTGGAACCCGCAAGATCTTTTTGTTCTTTGGAACTCGAAAGTTTTTTTTGTTTCCCAAAAACTGCATGAAAAAGTTTTTTAAAAAAAGAGTAATAAGTTATTATAACTTGCTCTCTACTGTTTAATGAGACGTGGAGTAGACCTAAGATAGGTATAAAGGCATTAATAGCTATTAGTATTGCTGTATTCTGATTATGTAAGTAAGTTAATGCCTTTCGTATGAAAAGTTGTCCAGGCCAGTCTACAACGACTGGCATTACATAGTCATTCGCACGATTAATATTTTTACTTATTGAAAGAATCATCTTTAACGTATTAATATAATCGTTTAATGAATGAAGTTAACTTTCTTTAAATCCAACTAATCGCACATTTTTCATATTTCTTTCGGTTTGTTTGTCTTTAATAGCTTCTTCATAGCAATGGACCATTAGAAGATCGATCTGGTCAAAGTTAATTAGCCCTGTTTTTTGCGAAGCAATCCATTGATTTTTTCATTGTGCATATGAAAGATCAAAAATTCCATCGTACTTTATAATTAAATATAGACAAATTAAAGATGCGTCTATATTAACAGGGTTATAAACTGAGATATTGTTATAATTTATAGGGATTGGTATACATTTAGGACCTTCTTTACTGACACATGTTGCAAAGTGGATCAGAGTTGAGAGGGATACGGTATCTGGATGCTTTATTGTATGTAGATTATGATAATCATCAAGATTATATATAAAAAGGCTATTATTCTAATAAAAAAAAAATATTTTAAAGGATTACAATTCGAATCATGACAATTATTATAGCACTATGGTTATAGGGTTTTGACTAAGGATGCAACAAAATTGAATCAGCTTAGTCGACTATCCTTAATCTTAAACACAGATTAAAATTTACCTTGTCAGCAAAATACTCCTGGATATTTTTTGAATGCATATTTGCTAATTTTTTTCTATAGTTTTCAACAGTTTTGTAACAAACTGAAAGGCCGGCTTTGTGCATCATATCAATTGCATCACATGAAGCACCAGATGCTGCAAGGTATAATCCAATTTCTAAAGAGTAGCTATTTACAAACTTATTTCGTATCCCCGCTATTGAATAACATATATTAATAACTTTTTTTATCTTCTTTTTTGTTATAAGCAGATCACCTGTCCGGAATAAATGCATTATATAATTCATTAAAAAATCCTTTTAATGATGATTCTGCATTTTCAAGCATATTTTAAAAATTATCTGGGTTTAATTCAAGTGTTTGGTTTTCTTTTCTCTGCTTTTCATATAACACTTTTGTCATCAAAGCAATCTTATTACCAAAAGATAACAGTTTAGGGACTACGATATCGGGCGTATTATTAGTCGGTAAAGCATCATTATTCTTATGATTAGAAGATTCGGTGATATATGTGCTGTTAGTAGATGACTTATTTTTTTTATGGTGATCAGGTTCGACGACGCTTAAATAATGAGGATAACATAATTGCATTTCAATTTCCAAATAATTATATTGATTAAGAATATCTTTTGCTTTATTTTTGCTAGTGCATAATTGGTAATTCTGCGATATTGATTTGAATCTGTCTGACAATTACGAATTGAACAAGGACCGTGATTTTTTTTTGGAGGCATTGTATATCTTAACACAAGGTAAATAACTAATTTCACAAAAATCGTTATATCAATAAGTATTAATGTTTTTTTTTTATTTTAGGAAAATTTATTATGATAGTGAATGAAGAACTCTGAAATTTACAAAGATTAAATAGGTTAAATCGTGATCTTTTTATATTTTAGAGATATAAGGAGCGTAAAGATTTTGCTCATTACATTTTTCACTACATACTAAAAAAAAAATTCTATTTTTCCATTTAGAATTCGATGATCGCTAATTAACAAGCTTTTTTTCCTTTTCTTTTCTAAATTTAGGTTCCTTCACATCTATTGATTTTTCTACCAAGCCTTCGACACATCTATCGATTTTTCTACCAAGCCTTCGACACATCTATCGATTTTTCTACCAAGCCTTCGACGATCCTATGTATAATCCCAATTGCTGATCATCTTGAGTCATGATCTTCGCTCACGGTACCTTAATTAGCATCGTATTATTATCACGTTTCAGTATCCCTTTTCTCATGAAAGTATACATTATTTTAGAGCATTTTTTATTTACAAGTTTTTACTTATTATGAGTGCTGCTAAGGGAAAACCTACAATCGGGCTTTCAATTATATTTTGTGTCCAGCTTGTTCCTAAGTGCCGTCTAGGGAAAATCTATCAATTATATTTGTTACAAAATATAATTGAAAATTCGATAACAGACCCTTTTGGATGGCACTTAGGAAACAAACTAGACACAAAATATAATTGAAAGCCCGATTGTAGGTTTTTTCTTGGCAGCACTCATTTGAGAATAATTTAATATATTTCAATTTTATATAATTTAATACTTTATATAGTTGCACTCTTTGTTACAGTCAACTCTCCCAAAACCTAACACAAAAATTTGTAAATTTTATTATGAAGTTCGGATTAGCGACACAGTAACTCTAAGAACTGAACTTTTTGATACTTTACATATAATAAGAACGGACTGTTCAGGATAGGGAGAATTGACTGTATTTCGAATTTTTTGTAAATTTTTGAACAAACGCACTTTATCTGACGGTCAAGATTCTTTTATTATAAATTCGAAAAATGAAGTAATAAAAATACTAATTGCGATTATGTGTAATATAATGTGAAAAACAATAAATTTTTGTAACAATATAGAGAGTATAAAAATGTATTAATATTACTAATATAACAAGAATTTTATAATATTTTATAGTAAAATAAAAGTGCACTTGGATACTAAGCAAAATCTTGATACGTATAGCAAGTCCTTTGCACCGTTTTGCGGGCAAATTTACCTGGAATTTTCACGATTAATTTGTGATTAAGCTATCAAATTATATTGAATTGTAGCCTAAATCGTAGTAAATATATGGTTAAATTGACGGTGTAAGGGATAATAATTTTACAATAGAGCGGGTACCTAGTACATTCGTATGTGCGTAATAATAATCTATTTTTTATTGGTTAAATGTCATGTGGTTACACGAAATCTGTATTTTCGTAGATCACAAATATTGCCCAATCAAAACAAACTTCCATTATGCTAATTTTTCCGGGTCCCTGATTATAGTGTAATGACTCCTTGCGTAACGATTCGTAGGTCAAACGTGCATCGTTCCGTATAATTCTTGAATTCTGTGGGCACGTGGTTTTGCCTGTGACAATAGACATGTGCGCTATACTTATATTTATCGAGCAAATTCTTGGGGGGGTGCGTTATTTCGGGACGCACATGTGCGTTATTTTGAGTCAAATAAGCGATTTTTAAAAAAGTGGCAATTTCGAAATAACGCACATGTGCGTTATTACACGCAAATACGGTACCAATTAGAAATATATTTTTGAATTGAAATTTACTATGGCATGTAAAATCTGAAAACGTAACTTTGTAACTTTTGTTAAGAATGCAGTGAAGAGTGAGACGTAATGTTTGATTCTACGTATTAGATGATCGACCACCCCATCAGTAAGTGTCAACAGGACAGAACGTCCCAAATAAGGAAATGATGATCCGATCATGCATATTGGTTCAGCCAATTAAAATCGTAAATT